GGGAGGGAGGCAAACCATGAGAGACTCTTGAATGCTGAGAACAAACTGAGGGCTGATTGGGGTGGGAGGGAGAGGGAAGGGGGGGATGGGCATGAAGGGGGGCACTCGTGGGGATGAGCACTGGGTGTTATGTGGAAACTAATTTGACAACAAACTATTTGTAAAAAAAAAAAGAAAAGAAAAGAAAAGAAATGTGGTTTGACAGGAGGAGGAGGAGACAGGGACAAGAAAGCAGGCAATTGTAATATGCATTGTATGAACCACGACAGAGAAATAACAGAATACAGTAAGTGTCATGGAAATATTTTGTAACTCATTGTGGAGATAGCTTATATGCACTCAGTGATATTTTGGCTCAATTTTTATACAGTAAAAATTTATATTTTTTATTATAATAAATAAGATTTCCTATTTAAAAAAAAAAAAAAGTATCCTCTCTCATGTGGATCCAGAGAAACTTAACAGAAGACTAAGGGGGAGAGAAGGGGAAAAAAATAGTTACAGAGAGGGAGGCAAATCCTAAGAGACTCTTAAATACTGAGAACAAACTAAGGGTCGATGGGGGGTGGGGGAGAGGGGAAAACGGGTGATGGGCATGAAGGAGGGCACTTGTTGGGATGAGCACTGGGTGTTGTATAGATACCAACTTGACAATAAGCTCTCTCTCTCTCTCTCTCTCTCTCTCTCTATATATATATATAAAGAATTCTCTCATAAAGAACTTCTCCTACCTTAAAAACAGTGAAGAATCCATAACCTACTTGGTAGCAAGCACACATCTTTCAGAAGAGTGTTCTTTGCTTCTGTTCCTTCCTGAAAAGAAATCCACTTTGCTTTTGGAGAATGGAAAGCCCTGGCTTCATTATAACATGAAGGGTATCTCAGGTGAACTGCACAGTTGCTCAGATAACCAGTTTCAAGGACAAACGGGGACAAGAGTGACTGAGAATTGGTACACCACGCACCTGGGTGTGCCTTTTGTTGGAGTGAAAAGAGCTCAGGAAACCGGGACATGGGGACATACTTAAGTGTCACGCTTTTTTTTTTTTTTAATGTTTTACTTATTTCTAGGAGAGAGAGAGGGAGAGAGGGAGGGAGGGAGGGAGGGGGGGGGAGAGAGAGAGAGA